GAAGTTCTTTCGAACTGAAATTTTCCTCTCACTTGGTGACTCTAGTCCCTTGGAGTAAGCCTCTACAAAGCCTAACTCTTCTTTTATGGAGCAGTTGTCAAGACTGAAAATGGATTCTTTCATGTCTCTTAAATCATATCTTTTCATTGGCGTAAGTATCTCCAAATCTTTTGATTTTTCCCCCTTATGGATCCTTTACCTATTTGGTCTTCTTAAAAGACATCTTAAAATGCAGTGCTTAGGACTGGCCATGACATCCTAGCTGAGGTCTGACTATACTTCATTGCTGTGCACACAATTCTCTTATTAACATACTTCAGTATTATATTTATTTAAAAATCAGTCACCACATATCAAAATGTCCATAAAACCAACCCCCTGAGTCTTTTATGATACCATGAGTCTTTCATCTTCTACTTATATGTTTCTTTTTTTTTCCCTTCTGGTCTAAGTGCAGGAATTATGTTTATCTCTATTATATTCCATCTTATTATTTTTATCCTGTCTTTCCAGCCTGTCAAGATGCTTTTAAAGTGTTTTTTATCATCCAGCTTATTAAACCATCCCTCTCAGCTTCGTGACATTTGCAAACTTAATAAACATTCTATTTGTGTCTTTATCCAAGGCTCTGATAGAAATGTTGGGAAAGATATGAGTAACACAGAAGACTCTGCTACAGGCTTCCAACTGACTTAAAGATTCTCTTGAAACACTATTACATCTGTTGTTGAAAATCAGATATAAAAAGTCCATGACATCATTCAGCTAGTAAATGATGGACATAACTAGGTCTGGTGAAATTTCGACTCTGTGAAGCTTTGCTCATTGCTGGGGATCCTGGCTTCCTCCTTGCAGGATTCAGAAATGTCACAACTCATTCCAAAATTCTGTTACTGGTTGACAGCGTTCACAGTTTTATTTCTAGAATATATTTCTGCTGTTCCCTTTAGAAGTCACACTTGTCATGGGTTAGGTATCCTTCTTTCATCTTTTTTTATGTGTCCTTTTTCAAGCAGTGTTCATCAAAGAGCTCCACGTGAAGTCCTATTAATTTATTTAGATACATCTCCTTTTCCCTCTTTTATGCAATCAGTTTCTGATTAGCAGCTGACTCAACAACTTGGGGACATGGATCATGAGGGGGTGTCAAAACCTTACTGGACTGCAGGAGACAGCCATTTGAAGTTTGGCTGTCTGATGGATATTTACACAGCTGGTGAAAGCAAATTGGTTGCTTCTCACTGACGTGTACGTCAGTTTCAAAGGGAGATCTCACCAGCCCTGCTCCCACTAAATGACCACGTTTTTAAGGAACACTGGCTGGAGGAGATGGCGGGTGATTAGCCTAGCCAGGCACCCACATGTTTTCTGAGGTCCTCACTGCAGACTCCTTAGATGGTATGAACAGAATTTACCTCCAAGGTATCAAATCTCTTAGTTGCTTCTGCATCCTAATGAAAGTTGCAGGTGTTACCAGGAAGGAATGCCTCGCTCGTGGCGTCACACACCTGTTTCAGAGGCCACCTCTGCCTGTGCCCAGGGGGATGTTAACCCAGTGGTTCTCAGTGACTGGGGGAGCACTTGGCCACATCTGGACTCACTGATGGCTGTCACAGCTGGGAGGCGCGACTTGCAGCCAGTGGGTAGAGCCCCGGGAAGCAGCTAAGCACCCCGCAAAGCACAAGTCAACCACCACAACAAAAAACTGTGCATCTGACCCCAAAAGGCAACAGTGCTGCTGCTGGAAAACCTGCTTGAAGAAGATAACCTTCCCCAACCTTCATTCCCCTTCCCGTGCAGTGAGGATAACAGCGGTCCAGGCTGCTGTCATGAGGACTGCAGGCAGCACTATATACTAAAACACATACTGGAGTGACTGGCACAGAGCCAGCACCCAAAAACAGTCATCATTTTCTCCTTTATTATTACCAAAAGCAATAAATGTCTGTTGCTTAGCTGTCTAGTCTGGGGGATTTTATAGCAGCATGGGCTGACCAGCTGACTGCCACACCATCTCTGCCTGATTCCAAAGCCTACATGCTTTCCACTGCATTACTGTCAGATGCCTGCCTTTAGGAAAACGAGACTGCAAGCTGTGTAGGAAGATCTCAGCTCTGCTAATTTTATTGTCTTAGCATTCTCATCAGCGCCCTCTCACACTGCAGGACATGTCTACGGTGATAAGCTTATCATTTCTTTCCCTTCGACTCTTTATTAATTTAACAAATATTTATTGAGCACTTGCTCCTTGTTCCCTTGGAGGAAGAAATGGCAACCCTACTTCAGCATTCTTGCCTGAAAACTCCCCTGGATAGAGGGGAGCCTGGAGGCCTATTGTCCATGAGGTCACAAAGAGTGCTCCTTGTTAGGATGCAGTGGAACTATGAAACCCTGTCTTAGCCTGCAGAGAGCTCTGGGGCTGGTGTGGATGAGAGTCAGTCTCGAATAGAAGTCTCATGTGAGACCCAAAGCAGCACCTTAACTTAGCCTCAAGTGCATCAGGCCATGAGGCCCCCTTCCTGTTGGGGCTGTGGATGTCCTTATAGGTATCTGTTTCTTTAGGCAACTCATCACATGCACAGTCAGTTTATTTACATGGCAACATTTTCCTTTGATGAACAGAAAACCCTGGGTGTATTACTCATATACCTGAAATTCATATAATGGTTTTAGCTCGGCACATCTCGAGCAGAGTCAATTCTTACTTATAGAAGATTTCTCTTATGATGTTATTTGTTCATGACCTTGAAGGTTTGTGCCTCATTGCATATTGCAATTTTGCTTTAGTGTCAATTTAGTCACCTGACCTGAAATACTGATGAGCAAGAGTGTTACTCATAGTGAAGGAAACTGGCATTCACCCAACATACCTGTCAAACTTGACTCTGTGAGTTTCATGAAAGAACTAAAGTCCGTTGTTTCTGGTATGTTCACGCTGGGTGTTGTGTCTTTACGAATACCATGGTATCACAGTGCAGAGTTTGTTTGGATGGAATCAGCCCTGAAGGAACACTTAAAATGTCCTGTTATTCTTCACTGAGTTGCGGAATGCATATGGTGGCAAGCGGGACATCTCAGGGTCCACGCCTACAGACACCAAGGCTCCACGCCACTGACTATGTTGGCATGTGTAAATAAATTTTAATGGCATTGCTTGTCTTTCTGCTGCGTTTCCTTCTGGACCTTGACCTGTAATGACTAGTCCTTTTGTTAAACTGTGGACTCTCATCAGAGAGACTCAGCTTCAAAACTCTGCTTTCCCCACACACCAGTCAGCTAACTCCGGCAAACTGACCATCCTCAGCTTCAGCTTCCTCATCTGTAAAATGAGGATAATAATCCTACGTCTTGCTTCACTGAGTCGCTGTGACATTACACTGCCACATTTACACATGGAAGAGGATTGGCCCAATGCCTAGAATGGCAGGTGGCCCGTGAATCTGGCTGCCTTTCTTTTTCCACTTTCACCCACTGATTAGACTACTGCCACCCCCTGCTGTCTTTTTGCTGAGGGCGCGCCCTTTCCTGGGACCCGACGTACACCTCTGTTTGCCCGCTGTCTTGCCTGGTGTGTCCCTGGTTCTAAGTCCTAGAATACATTTTGCTCTTAGCTACTTTCTGACATGGGATGTCAGGCTTGTCCCTCAACAGGTCAACCTCTTGCCCAAATTCTCTGCTTCTGTCTCTCTGTTTCATTCCTAAGTCCACCATCACAGAGCTTACAGCACGGTAGTCAGGAACACAGGTATCTGACTGTCCAGAAAGACGTTTTGATTCCACCCTTAAGTAGGTAGCCTTGGGCACGGTATTTAATCTCTTGATGCCTCAGTTTTCTCATCTGTAAAATGGAGATGATATCTTGATTATCTCATGGAATTACTAAGAAGATTACATGTGTTCATGTATCTGAAGTGCTTGAAATGGATCTTGGCCCATAGAAAGTTCCTCTGTAAGTATATACTATTGTTACTTATTGTTATGGGTTGGGCCCCCTGTTCTTTTCATTATCTGCTAGGTTCCCCTGTCCCATCTTTAAAAAATGAGTGCTTTTAACAATTAAGAGCATTCTGATCACAGAGCCGCCCCCTCCCCAGGCTTTGGCCAGCACATCACCCACTCACTGTCTTATGAGTTCCATTTTGGGTTCATGATATAGAGTTCTCTTACAGAAAAGAAAAGTCACTGGCTTTACATTAATCATTTAAAATACGTAACCAATCACATCCAGAGCACATCTCGACAGCACTGATCTGTAGTAAAGAGAAGGGCCAAGTGGCTCCTTTAAATTCACAATCACACGTAGGGGATTCTGTCACAATTTCCCAATTCCTATCAGCCTTCTGATTGCAGATAATGTAGGTGGGGCTTCCCGGGCGGCTCGGTGGTGAAGAATCCACCTGCCAATGCAGGACACGCGGGTTTGATCCCCGACCCGGGAAGATTTCACATGCTGGGAGCAGCTCAGCCCGTGCACCCCAACTACTGAGCCTGTGCTCTAGGGAGCTGCAACTATCGAGCCCACGTGCCACAACTACTGAAGCCTGAACGCCCTAGAGTCTGTGCTCCGCAACCAGAGAAGCCCGTGCACCACAACCAGAGAGCACCCACCACTCGCTGCAACTAGAGAAAAGTACAGCAGCAGTGGGGACCCAGCATAGTCCAAACAAGAAATCTAGAAAGCAGTTCAATAAAGCAGTATCGAGTATCCTTCTCGACAGTGAGAGGAAGACAGAACCATGTTGAATACTTAGAATGGGAAAAAGTTATATTAAGTACTGTTAGTAGGTAGTGCTTTTTAATAAACCAAAGAACAGATTCTAGATAAAGAAACTGGGAGCAGATACACGGTTTCACCTGTCTTAGTTTGTCACGCACCAAACGACACAGGTTTTATCACCACCACGGATGTAGGGGCCTCAACCACCAATTACGACGCATTTCAAAGGCGAATGAGCAGCTTTAGGAAATATTATGTGGGCAGTTTATCCCAAATTTCTTACCGATGACTTTTCCTAGGAAGAGCGACTTGGGAGAATTGAAGAGCGTGTCAGATGAACTTGGCAGGTGGTAACTCACAGAAGGATAGTGATCCAGCTGCAGGGAGAAAAGGAGAGACACTTTTAGAAGAATGTCACCTCCTGCATGGACTCGGATCTTCCCTGGGGGATGATGTCACTCTTCCAACCCCAGTTTCTGGATCTTATTTCATCAGTGCTGACTCTGAAATACCAGCCTGAGAAAACAGGAGTTCATCCCAGCCTTCGCTGGGGTTCCTGGAAAATGATTTGAACTTGTACATGAAGACCTTTTATGAGTTCTTCTCCAGCTCACGCACCTTCTCTGTGGCTGCTGGTCTAAGACCCTTACTCATTTTAATAGAGTAAAATCTGCTTGATTCAGTCTCTAGTATTGACCCCTGTGATAGAGTAGGCTACATGTATACTGATTTTCTTCAGCATCATCTTACTGCACTTATTTCTTCCCCATTTGGGTCTATCCACCGGGACACCAATATCGTTCTTCAGAACATATATATGTGTGTGTGTTCAAATGTGAATATGACTACATTAACGTATGTGAATATGTGCAAGGCTTCCCTGGTGACTCAGCTGGTAAAGAACGTGTCTGCCAATGCAGGATAGGCAGGAGATGTGGGTTCGCTCTCTGTATCAGGAAGATCCCCTGGGGTAGGAAATGGTACACTACCCTGGTATTCTTGGCTGGGAAACCCCATGGACAGAGGAGCCTGGTGGGCTACAGCCCTGGGACCACAGAGAGTCAGACAGCACTGAGCGAGCATGCACGCAAGAATATGTACATTCGAATGCTGAGATATCAGGGTCACAGTTTTCTTGCTTGTCCAAAAGAGGGTGATTTCTCCTTCCTGCCGCAGCGCAGGGACATCACAGCCTGGAGGGAACAAAGACACTGTTGCTCTAGCAGAGCTGACCTTTCAGAGTGGAGCTGGGCTGGCAACAGAGGGAGTTAAAAATGAAGCAGACGGGAAGAGCTTACAGACAATGGCTGTCACAGGTCTGATTACGCTTCCCATGCAAAAGTGTGAACGGTGCCGTCCCAGAATCCTATGTGTCCTAACTGGCTATTCTTGCCTTAGCTGAACTTTTACAACCCAAACATTTTAGCTGTTTCTCCAACTGTAAGCTCCTAGAACTTTCTGTGTTTCTTTGCATCCACCTGGGGGAAAAAAAAATCTCTTTTGTGCCCTTTTGTTTTTCTGAAGTGAGTTTAATACCTGCTCAGGAGAGCATAAGGTAAGGTGTGGGTTAGAAGGAAACACTTCTGTCCTTCTATCCAGCAGGTCCTTCCTGTGGGAACTGTGTACAAGTAGCTACTTGCTGGGGCACAAACTCCTGAAACTAGACTTGCTAGAGACGGGCCAGGATGGGTAAAGCTGCAGGGTGCAGGCCTACTTGGGGGAGTGAGGAGCAGGTGGGGAGGAGAGGGAGGCAGGAAGCGTGGGGAGGGGACCAATCTCACTGGCCAAGAGGAGAACAGGCTGCTTTGAGGATGATGGTTAATTATTAATGACCATCTGCCCTGGAATCTTGAGACCGCTTACTCGAAACCTAGAGCTTATTGAATATTCAAGATCACGAGTCCAAGATTCATTGCAGCTTAGGAATCTGGAGAGTTCTGACCTGCAGGACTGGTACGGTGAGGTTTTTTGTGCCTGGGTGTCTGGTAGCACTGTGATAAAAGTCTAAAAAAAAATGATTAAAGCCAACATCGAAATGTTCGACTACAATTTTGAAAAGTTTGCTATGATTTCAAGTGCTTCATTAACAAAACACATGTTATGGCCAGAGAACCTTAAATATTAATATTTTCCTACTTTATTATTTCCCTGGGGCACAGGCTCAGTCATTTCCGTCACTCAGTCACTCAGTCATTTCCGACCCTTTGCGACCTCATGGACTGCAGCACGCTAGGCCTCCCTGTCCATCACCAAACTCCTAGAGTTGACTCAAACTCATGTCTGTTGAGTCAGTGATGCCATCCAACCATCTCATCCTCTGTTGTCCCCTTCTCCTCCTGCCCTCAATCTTTCCCAGCATCAGGGTCTTTTCAAATGAGTCAGTTCTTCACATCAGGTGGCCAAATTATTGGAGTTTCAGCTTCAACATCAGTCCTTCCAATGAATATTCAGGACTGATATCCTTTAGGATGGACTGGTTGGATCTCCTTGCAGTCCAAGGGACTCTCAAGAGTCTTCTCCAACACCACAGTTCAAAAGCATCAATTAGACAGCGCTCAGCTCTCGTTAAGAGTCCAACCTTCACATCCATACATGACTCATGGAAAAACCACAGCTTTGACTAGACAGATCTTTGTCAGCAGAGTAACGTGTCAGCTTTTTAATATGCTGTCTAGGTTGCTCCGTTTTGTTAAATAGCAGCTAGCTGCTTTGGCGCCATCTGCTGCCATATATGGGGAACTGCTACGGTTCCTCCATCCTCTTACTACCTGTTGTTAAGGTACCCAGGGTTGCCAAGGGGAAGGGATAGTTAGGGAGTTTGGGAAGGTCATGTACATGCTGCTGTATTCAAAATGGATAACCAACAAGGACCTATTGTATGGCACAGGGAACTCTACTCAATGTTATGTGGAGGCCTGCACGGAAGAGGTGTTTGGGGGAGAATGGATACATGTATATGTATTGCTGAGTCCCTTCCCTGCTCACCTGAAACTACCACCACATTGTTAAGTAGCTATGCCCCAATACAAAATTAAAAGTTTAGTTTGAAACAAACAAAAACAAAGGCTTCCTGAAATAGTTACATCGTAACAGTATGTAGTAATCAGTATGCTACACTATTGCACTTGACAGAGCTGGTTTTTGGCATATTTTATATTATTTTTATGGTGCTCATATAAAATAAAATTGCTAGTTTGTATCCATAGATTATTTTCATCTCTTCCCCTTCCTTCATATATGCAGTTGATGACTTGAACCAAAAGCTAAAATTTACATTTATTATATTAAAATTTATTTCTTTCGCTTGGAAGAATACAGACTATTCAGAAATTTTTGAATCTTGATTGTACCATCAGTGCTTCTGCCCGGCATTGATTTATCTATAAATGTCACAAATACTCTTGAGTCTTAATTCATTCATTTCAGTTCAGCTCAGTTGTTCAGTTGTGTCTTACTCTTCGTGACCCCACGGACCGCGCAGTACTCTAGGCCTCCCTGTCCATCACCAACTCCCAGAGTTTGCCCAAACTCAAGTCCATTGAGTCGGTGATGCCATCCAACCATCTCATCTTCTGGTGTCCCTTTCTTCTCCTGCCCTCAATCTTTCCCAGCATCAGGGTCTTTTCAAATGAGTCAGTTCTTCGCATCAGGTGGCCAAAGTATTGGAGTTTCAGCTCCAACATCAGTTCTTCCAATGAACACCCAGGGCTGATCTCCTTTAGGATGGACTGGCTGGATCTCCTTGCAGTCCAAGGGACTCTCAAGAGTCTTCTCCAACACCACAGTTCAAAAGCATCAATTCTTCGGCACTCAGCTTTCTTTATAGTCCAACTCTCACATCCATACATGACTACTGGAAAAACCATAGCCTTGACTAGACAGACCTTTGTTGGCAAAGTAATGTCTCTGCTTTTTAATATGCTGTCTAGGTTGGTCATAACTTTCCTTCCAAGGAGGAAGTGTCTTTTAATTTCATGGCTGCAGTCATCATCTGCAGTGATTTTGGAGCCCCCCCAAAATAAAGTCAGCCACTGTTTCCCTGTTTCCCCATCTATTTGCCATGAAGTGATGGGACTGGATGCCATGATCTTATGAATCGATTAATGAAAAAACATTGGGCAGGAATCTCAGCGGGCAGTGATCTATCATTCTGATCCAAATCACTTGTTCAGTTAGGAAAATCTTTTGTAACAATCGAGTCGGAAAATATGACAAACGCTGAAGATACACAGGAAGGCTTTAACGTTTACAGAGATGAAACTCCTCGTGTCTGCGGCAACTCTGTGATGGAAGAGGACCACAGGAGGAGAGCTCAGAGGGCAGAGAAGTCTGCTCGAGTCTTCCTCCTCTCTCTCTCTCTCTTTCACATTCAGTCATGCTTTGCGCCCAGAAGGAAGGGTGTGGGTGGAGGCGAGGGAAAAGATGAGGTGACATGGAGGGGATGGTGGGAAAGGGAGTAGCAGCTCTGGGACCTGCAGATGTGATAAATTAAGGATCCCGGACTCCGGGGCGATGAGCCGTGGCATGTAGGTGCCTCTAGAAGCTGGAAAAGGCAAGGAAAGGGATTCTCCTCTCAGAGCTTCAGGGCAACCAGCCCAGCCAGCAGCAGGCCATCCGCTCGGTGATGCTAACTGGCCTCCAGAACCCTAAGGCAATCCCTCAGTGTTACCCTGAATCTGCATTAAGTTGTTACAGCAACAACAGAAAACCATCCCTGGAAATTTAAAGAAGAGCTTGTGCCACCAAAACCAGGGCTGAACAGTGCCCTCTCCCGGCTTGCTTCTCAGACAACCATGCCAGTCCTGCTCCCGTCTTCCTGCCTCCCAGACAGAGATTGTTAATGTGCTCCATTTCTGAGCTGCCCCAGCTTTTTGAGAGCACCCAACCCTGCTTCCTGGAATCCTCCGCACTTGAACCCCATCCCCAAAATAAGCTCTCCCCGCCTCTCTCCCAGTGATACACCATGGAGGTCCCTGGGATGTGAGTCTTTTTCTGTCAGTAATCAATTCATTGCCTCCCGGCTCCAATTCACCTTTCAGTATATGCTCTATGATTAACGCAAGTTTCTTTAATTTCCTTTAAGGTGAGCAGAATATTAAACTTTTCTGGTAGAGGGCCCTGGAAGAAAAGCTATGACAAACCTAGACAGCGTATTAAAAAGCAGAGACATTACTTTGTTGACAAAGGTCCGTCTAGTCAAAGCTATGGTTTTTCCAGTAGTCACATATGGATGTGAGTGTTGGACCATAAAGAAGGCTGAGCACCAAAGAATTGATGCTTTTGAACTGTGGTGTTGGAGAAGACTCTTGAGAGTCCCTTGGACTGCAATGAGATCAAACCAGTCAATCCTGAAGGAAATCAACACTGAATGTTCATT